ACGAAAAGGAGAATAAAATGGATAAAAGATTTTGTACACTGACTTTGTGATATATAAAATAACTTAACTGCATAAATAATTAGCTAATAACGTTGTTGACTTTTGAATCAGCGCATTGTTAAAAATTATTTCATTAAATAAGTTGTATATTCGGACATACATTTTCTTTACAATACGAAACTCATTTCAATTATTCAATAATAGGTAGCGATATTCGCGTAGTAGAGAATGGCGGATTGAACAAGCAATTTTAAAATCAAATGGGAATATAAAAGAAAATGTTATGATTATTATGGGATTATGAATTTTCAAATTTTGAAAAAGTGCCTTTAAACATTTATCTAAACGAAGAAAAGTATTTCATTATAAAAGTAACTATTCAGCCTATTGTTTACGATTTTGCTCTGCTTTTTTTTCAATTTGAAACTATTTTTAGTCAGTTTTGTTTGTAATGAAAAATGTTACCTCTCGTGCTGCACGCGTGGAAAAGAGCCGCAAAGCGAGAGACATAGTTGAAAAAATTGTCAAAATTACAATTTGTACGGTCCACTCCGAAATTCATAAATTAGTAACAAAAAATCTGTATAATAGGCCAGAGTTATGTTATTTACCGAATTTGGTTGAAATTGGTCTAGTAAGTCCTAAATGTGGGCGGTGCAACGCCCATTGTCCAATTTTACCACGGCTCCTATAAGCCCAAATGTTTCATCCCGCGTATAAATTTAATGTCCCTGGCGCATTAGTTGTTGATTTATCGCGCTTTAGTAGTTTTAATAAAAACGTTATATGGGGAGCAAGGGGTTATCATCTGATTGCATCTATTTTCACACTGTCGAGACGATTCAAGAATATTTATTTTGGGCAAATTTGAATCATATTGCTCGAATGGCTTAGGGGCTATATACATTACGAGGCGGGACCCCGCCCATTTAAAAATAATTTTCAAACACTGATGTCCTTCCCCAATTTTATATATTATTTTAGTGCTTCGTTTAGTTCGATTCCGCCTATTTGCAATAGCTCCCTTGGGTGCCAAGGAATATGTGTACCAAGTTTTATGTAAATATATCAATTTTGCTCAAGTTATCGCTTGTACGGACAGTCGGACGTACAGACAGACACTATCCCTATTAATTCGTCTCTTCATCATAATCATATACAAGTATATATTTATATATAACACTATATCTAACTCGATTAGTTTTTGTTGATTCAAACAACCGTTAAGTTCCCCTTCTGTTTTGTATAAAAAACAATCGTCAAAATGTTTCATTTCAATGACAAATTTCATTGAAGTCACAAATTTTCTCCTAAAACTCATTAAAAATCATAACAAATGTGTATAGTATCTCCTAAACCACTAAAGCTATAATTACCATGTTCACTCAAGACAAATCCTAGCACCCTTACCGATAGTGTGAAAATTAGTGAAATCGGTGATAACCCCGCCCACTCCCATATAACGGTTTTGATTAAAACGACTTGAGTACGATAATGCATTTAAATAACAAGTCAAAATATAGAATTTTACACATAAGATGATAAATAAAAGCTTTACAGCTTCCAAAATAACAAAACTTGTTAATGGGCGTGCACGCCCACTTTTAGGTTAAAACCCATATCTCAGAATCTACTTAACCGATTTTAACTAAATAAAGTATATAACATTCTTCTACATTCCTATATTACAGCGCGAACATGGACAAAATCGGACCACTACACGCCTACTTCCCATATAAAGAATTTTAAATAACATCTGATACTTCACTTTTCAGTATACAATAGTGTCTTTAAAGTATGCCACCAATGACCTAAATTAAGCCAATTGAACCAAAATTTTCAAGCCTTTAGGTACCAAATAAGTGGATCCTAGTACCTATAGTTGACTTTTTAATGAAAATATCGGTCAATGTGTGAGATATAAATACAATCAAAATTCATAGAGAATCCTTTCCTGATGCTATTATGTCTATATTCAGATCCCAAATCTAAAAATTTCAAAATCGGACCATAACTGTTCAAGCCCCGCGTACCGAATAGTGGACCCCAGTGCCTATAGCTGACTTTTTGCCAAAAATAGCCCCAAATACCTTCTAGTTGACTTTATACCACATATATCGGCCAATGTGGAAGTTATTTTAGTGAAATTAAAGAGGTATTTTTCTAATAACAGTGTATCTTGTGTCGAGAATGGATAAACTCGGCCGAAAACTTGCATTAGCCGCATATAACTGATATTCTCGATTTTGTAACATTCGGCTAACTTTACTCCATATGTATGTATGTTTACCGTTACAATGTCAAAAATAATGCAATCAACCATTCCACTGAGCTTGGCTCAATATAAATGAAATCGGTCTGTGTCAAAACCTCATATCCCAAATATAATGAATTTCGATCCTTTGCTTGACGTTTTCATTTTCGATTGAGTTTATATCACATACATCTCATTTGAGCATGATTTAAGTATAATTTTGCTGACGGAAGTAAAACATAGGTACAATAGTTATAAAACTAAGTGAGTCTATGACCTTGAAAATAAGTTAATATGATACCAAATATGATTGTAATGCTCACGATTACGTCCAACACTAAGTTCACCCTTTCGCCATATTTTAATAATGCGAACTCCTGAGGTATTTTCCCGGCTTTGATACTCCCGAGTTTCAAGAGATGAAATTTTCAAGTTAACACTCGATATCCGACGCGCGTAAAGACGCCCCCGCTATTGCAGTGATGAACTGAAGAAAAAACATGAAAAATTAACTTCCGCTGCCCGAAACTATACTACCTTGCATTTCTTATAGCGACTGTATATATATATAACTTAATCTAGAAACGTAACATAACGTAACGTAGTTTTGTTACTTCTTTCTAGTTAAAATGTTTGATATACCATAAACAACCTTCCAGTCGAATAAAGGTTATTTACTAAGGAATGAATGAAAGATCTTTTATGAAGACTTTCTCTTGATTTTGATGGAGTTGCCTAGTCAATAATCTATGCTAAATTTCGTGAAGACATCTTGTCAAATAAAAAGTGTTTCATACAAGAACTTGATTTCATCTCATGAACGAATCTTCCTCCGATAGCAGACCATCAACAGGCTTCCGAAAAGTGCACAGCACTACCACAGCGCTTAGCGGCAACATGTTGTACAAGGCAATCAAATCAGAACTACGCTGAACCGGTATGGTCGCCAGGATTGGTGAAACGCAGGCGACGAAGATGCAGGATGTCTTTTGATGTCTCGTGTTGAATACTCACATGGCGAGGACCGCATGCTAGGGCCCCACGAAAAGCTTGAGCTGCCCCGAGAACCTATAGAGACCCTTGATAACTTCGTTCTGAATAATTTAGCAGAATAAACTCCTATATCCATGTACGACCCCTACATAACCGACTTGGACGTCTACTAATTAATAAAACAATTATTTACACTCAGAAAATGACTCATATGATGAGATTGGACGTTCTTTTAATTTTGACTTACGACCGGGGTTTTAATATAAATATGTGCAACGAAATAATAAAATTGGCTTTAATCAAGTTTGATGACAATTTACAATCTTTATTTACGGACGAGTGTTCGCTATGTTTCTTATTTCAGGGGTTAGGTCCTCATTACCTTTGTTGTAATTAAATGAAAGTGTTGGTGTATGTTTTCGGGCACATTGCGATATTTGTACTAAATATATCCAGCAATATCTCGAACTTAAAATTTTGTCAATAATTGTGGAAAATTCTAGATATATTTACTCTTGCGCTAACGTACTAAATATAAAAGTGCTCGTCCAAACCATTCAGATTAGAGTATGCAAAATGGCATTGAATTGAAATCGATAATAATTTTGATAAAGTAAATGCCCGCATAAATCATATTTAATTGTTTCACAAACAATTTGATTGCTACTAAGTATCAACTTTGGAATTTCCAGTAAGTCGAACCCATTTATTTAAGCCAAGCTGAAAATGGTACAATACAAGTCGCACCGGAGTTTGTATATTTGTTTATGTGCTTTTGGCTGACGTTAATGCAGCGAACATTTGTATGTACATATGTGCGTACATAAATGTTTCAAATCATATTTCCTCAATGGTAATAAGTCGAAAGCAAAATTGTCTCATTAACACCACCTAAACTGGTTCAGAACTCGGCTCTAATTACTCTGGAGAACACGCACATGTTACTCGAATACACAGACGCCCGCATTGTATTATATTAAGCCGTTATAACTCTACATGTGCACTCATATGCATAACTGCAAGCACGCATACTCTGCAGCTCATTGAACACATGACAAGACTGTCACCATTGGCAGCGGCAGCCTGATGGACTGAGTTGCAATCAATGCAGCGTTTATCGGCTGTCAAGCAGGCAGGTGCAGGTTTACATTAGCGTTATGTGGGCGCCTAAGATATAAATACTACATTCGATTTTAAGAACGGTATCAGTTCTTTAACGCACTCAATCAATACAGACCTTCAAATAACAAACAAACAGCTTTAAAAATGTTCAAGTTGGTAAGTTGTTCAGTCATGTACACTGAAACACACAACACGCTAAAGCAATATCTCAACATTTATATTTCCTATTTGACAGGTGGTATTGTCTGCTCTCCTGGCCGTAGCTGCTGCTCGCCCTAGTCTCATCGAATCCCACCCAGTGGTGCAATTGGCACCTGCCGTCAGCGTGGCGTGCAAGAGCCTGTGCTCACCAAAGTGGGCTCTGTGGTGAAGAGCATCCCCACTGCTTCTCCCACCAGAGCTCCACCATTGTGCACAGCTCAGCGGTCGCTGTTCAGGATATTGTTGCACCTGCTGTGAGAACTAGCGTAGTGTCCGCTCCAGCAGTGGTACAAACTGTGCTGCTGCTCCTTTGTTACAATCAACAGCCGTGCAACATGTTGTCGCAGCTCCATTGTTGCAGCACGCTCCAGTTGCTCACTTGTCTGCACCTCTGACTAATTTGCATGCCGCATCCCCTCTCATTAATGGCTTATGGTAAACGAATTGAGATTACGACGATTTAGTTGGACTGCCTGTTTCTTAGCAAAATTAGCATTTTTGATTTCGCCTTAATTTTATTTTCTTATATTAGAAATTTCTTTCAAAACACATATTTATTAGCGAACTGTTTAAATTATAAACGAATAAACAAAATTGGAATGTATTAAAATTTATTTTATTTCGTCAATATACCTAATATTTTACTAGCTCCTCGAGAACTTAGCTATCTGAAACATCCGTTTTTGCATTTAAGTTTAAAAATCTAAATTTGAGAGTATTTGTATTCAGTATTGTTTGACATTTAATTGTGGAAAGACTTACGCTCTGAACACAGTTTACAAATTGTTCAACTTTTATGAAAATTCACGTTCTCAAAAGAATGTGTTTCGCGCGCTCCTCATCACTCATCTTGAGACCTCGCATTCATTATTGGATAATGTTCGTTCAAAAAGAACCGTGACGCACAACAGTGAAGAAAATAGAGCGGCTGTAGCTGAGAGTGTACACGAAGACCGTGAGAGTCGATTCGGCGCCGTTCGCAGCAACTCGGATGACGTATGGAACGACTTGGCGCACTTACGTCGAGATCTTAAATTAAAGCGTACAAAACAACTTGTGCAAGAACAGGCCGCTCGACTTTCCAAGCGACCTTGCTCGCTCTATTTAAAGTTAAAAAGATCTGACGTTTCGGAAATTTGTCAGCGATAGGCCATTCGTCCTTACCCTTTGAACAAAAATTGCCACATTTGAGACAAAGAGCAGAGATTCAGAGCTGCCATTTCATCCAGAAAAACAGCGGTTTGTGTGTTTATGTGCCGGTGAAATCTTCAGTCCATATATCTAAAATGATGCCGGTGAGAGCGTAACCGCCAATGGCGACCGTTATCGCGCCAAGATAATCAACTATTTGGTGAATGACATTGAAGCTCGTGATCTCGGCGACATTGGTTTCAACAAGAACTTCCACATATCGCATCAATCAATGGATTATTGAGAGAACACTTCTGTGAGCAGATAGTTTCACGTTTGGGCCGTCGATTGGCACCAAGATCAGGTGATATCACACCGTAAGACTTTCCTGTGGACATATGTAAAGTCTAAAGTCTATGCGGGCAATCCCTTCGATTCATGTCGTTGCCTTGGAGCAAAACACGCTCCAACGCGTGTCACTCGCCAGTCACCAGTCGAAATGCTCGAACGGGTAGTCGAAATGGATTCAACGGATGAACCATTTAAGACGTAGCCGCGGCCAACATTTGAAAGATATAATCGTTAAATATAAATTCCAAAGAATGTTCTTTCGAGATGAGAAACAATCCCCATTCAATTTGAATTTCTGTATTTTAAAGCCTAAACGGGGTACATTAAGAATCCCAGAAGGAAACGTCGAGACCCTATAAATATATATATAAATGATCAGCATGATGAGCTGAGTTGATTCAGCAATGTCCGTCTGTCTGCCGCGTCTGTATATATGCAAACTATTCCTCAGTTTAAGCTATCGACCTTAAATTTTGCACCTGTCTTTTCTCACTAAGAAGCTTCTCATTTGTCGGAAGGCCGATTTCGGACGGTATTGCATTTAGCTGCCATAAAACGACCAATCGAACAAGTAAGTGTGGAAAACTTTTCATTTGACGAGGCATCACGAAATTTGACATCGATTGTTATTTGAGGCAATAATGCAATCACACCCACAAACACAATGAAACACAATTTATAAAGTACCATAACTAAGCACTAAATTAAGACATAAAACTGTAATTTGTAACAGAAGATTGCAGTAGCAATGACAAAAAATGTGCCCGCCCTCTAAAAAGTTTATGAACATAAAGAAATCGCCCACTCCAGATAAACGGTTCTCTTAAAAACCAATAAAAACACGATAAATCAATAATAAATGCGGCAGAGACATTTCATAATGCGAGATCTCACCGAGGAGTATATAGGAGCTGGGGTCAAAATAAAACGGTGCGCTGGGCACCGCCACCACCATCTAAATCGGACTACAAACTGTTCAAGCCTCCAGATACCAAATATAGGGACCCCAGTACCTGTTGCGAACTTTATCGAAAATATCGATCAATCGGAGATGTGTTGTGGAAATCGGATCGGAGAAATCAGATCGTTCTCTGGTTACGGTATACCTGCCTGTCACAAAAAGGGTTGAATCGAGATGATACTTCTTCTCGTTGCCGCCATTACCCAATACAAAGATTTTCAAACTTACGGGTTACTATATACCGGATATATCGCCAATATGCAGTTATCAGAGAAAGATGACCTCTGATTTTATTAAGATATCATAAAGATTAACCAAATATAAAGTATGGTATTATTTCGACTATTTTAGAATCTCTCTCTTTATGGTATTTTAAAAAATCTTACTTTAACAACGTCTCCTACTATAAAGTGAGGTTAACTTACCAATTTGTACATTTTGTTAACTTTTGTGTTTAGAGTTCGTAAGAATGAACGATTTTTGACTTTGGAGCGTTGTTAGCTGATTGATGTCTTTCGGTTAAGTATCCAACGCTTTTATACGCTAAAGAGTTCATGCTTTGAAAGTCAATAAAAACTACAATAGAAACATTAATAGCGGCATTTCAATAATCGTAGCAATAGCAAATATGCTGCAAAACCTTTACTGAAACGTGCAAGTCATAGACTACGCATGCGCAGACGGCGTTTAACTTACTCTTAGAAACACACAATATAATAGCGCGTGATTGTGAGGGCGATTGCTCACACACGTATACAACACAGGTGCGCGCTCTTTCACACCGCATAGCGGGAGCTGAAAGCAATTACGGCGTGAAGTTCAGATGAAAACACAAAATAATAATAACAACCAAAAAAAAAAAAACAAATAATTAATCCATTAGAGCAAAAAGCCGAAGCTCACTCTTATTTTCATTACGCCGCGGTAATGCGCTCGTTAGCTAGCCGCCGAGCTTGGACAACGAAGCAGCGACTTGTAATTACCCGCAGCCTCGCACGTCTACCCTGAAAAGGTTATTGTGACGAAGTTTTACAATAGAACAATTAAACAACAACAAACAAAAATCAGATCAAACTATAAGATTTATAAAAATAGAACATTTCTTCATGAAGTAATTGATTTTACTGTTGGCGCTGGTTCCTGTATCGACGTTGGTGGCATGAGCGAACCGTTAACGGAACTCTCATTTTGTTTATGTTATACATTCTCTTAGTTATTTTGATCACGAATCGATGAGAATATATTTTAAAATTTTTTATCATATTACTTCGAAACACGAAGACACAGCTAACGACGGTTTAGATCTGTAGACTTTTTCACTTACATAACTTTAGTGATTGAGCTTTTAAATAGGAGAACCGTTTCAAAAATCCGATTTTATGGATAATCAATTTGTGTTAAATATCTTTATATTGAAAATATAGTTTTGCTTATCGAATTTTTATTTTGGTTGGAACTACTTCCCTTTTTGATTGACCATATTATAGAAAGTTTGAGTTACAAAGTGTCTTATAGTACAATTTACTCACGGAAAGGAGAGATTTCCTGACCACACTTTATAAACCGAGTCAATATAATGAGGAAGCCGGTGACAGACTCGTACCAAAGGTTTACCATCAAAAGTCAGTATCCAGCAACTATTGTCTTGTTTTACATAAAGTCATTAAAAAAAATTTTGTCGATGGCCATTTACACAAAAGGGTCACAGTGTACAACACATGCGGGCGTTTTGGTTTTTGCCAAATTATGTGGAATTAAGACTTTAAGTAGTAACGAGTTTCGAAGTCTTGTTTTGTCACATGAATAGGACAGTAATATAATATATGTAAGTAGAAAAGAGTGTTATCTACATATACTCCAAGTGGGAAGCATTCGAAAATATCCTCCAAAGTAAAAGAAACAATATATAACTTTTTAATTAAATAATTTATTATTAATTTGCTGATTTCGGAGTCAACAATGTTATAATCTAATAGCGGCGTGTGGTTTGATGACAGGGGTGGCGGCTGCATATGAGGTGTGCACCAGAGGAAGAGAATGGTCCCACCAAGTCCTCTACAACATGAGATGAACTGTGCACAATCGATTGTCTTTGATGGGAGACGGTGATAACTCGGTGCTCTTCACCACTGGGCGAACTTTAGTCAAGACAGGATCATGATAAGCAACAGCTTCAGAAGACACAAATGGGAGGTCATATAAGTGGCAAAACAATTTACAAAGTTAGAGAAATTTCTCTTCATATATTTGCGGTAACATGAGAACAGACACTAAATAGTTTGAATGTTACAACACTGCACTAGGAGCGTACTCGTATAACAATTCTATGGTAAAAAAATCTGGGGTGGATAAAAGCTGAAGATCGGAAAAACATAGCCTCGATCCTCAACAGACGTAATTTGAAAAGTTCATGGTAAAATAGTTATTTAAGTAATACTAGGAATATGCGGATCAGCTTTCAAATTGCACCGTATTTTGTCATATCAAACATTAAAAAATTTGACTTAATCTCAGCGTTACCCTTCCTGTTTTCGCCGGAAAAAGGAAAGAACTGTTCAAGAAATGCTTGATTCTGCTTATTTCACTTTAAAAATGTTAACATGTCACAAGATTTGCATGCAAAACAGGGTGATCTTAAAATAATTTAGACTAAATGATAAATACTTAGAATTATTATTAATGGTATAAAAAAACCTCAGACGTTGATAGATGTAGTAGGTATAAAGTTTACCAACGGGTATGCTAAATTTTTAAGATATATTTGTTGATGATTGAGCCCGATTTGGTTCATATTCCACACAGTATTTAGAGGATGTAATCAGAAAACAGTTTATTTTTTACTTGAACACTCAGTTATTGAATTTGCAAGTAAAATCTGCCACTCCTATAACCCAATATTTAAACTGGTTTCGTTCTCGCAACTTTTTTAAAGTTACATTAAGGACTTCCTTATAATTCAGGCCTACATCAGAAATGAACAGAAAGCACGTTGGGACATTTGGCAGTGTTTTCGAAATTTGCAAACCTGGTTATAGTTGTTTATACTTTATACAAATAAAAACTGGAAGGAATATTTTTCGCAAAGAATTACTTGTACCATTTTCATGCAGATGTCTCAAATCATATTCATACAGATGAACCAACTCTCACTTGAACCGACAAACCGAAGAACTTATATTCATGAAGCCATTCACACACGTTTTTTACTCTTCTAACTAACATAATTTGTTGTTTATTTAGGCAAGTAATCTGTCTACGCTTTTTTTTCAAAAGTAAAATAATTTATTAACAATTCGCTGATACAAAAGCCAACAACGTTATTAGTTAATTATTCTATACAGTTCAGTTATTTTATATATCACAAAGTCAGTGTACAAAATCTTTTATCCATTTTATTCTCCTTTGTCGTCCGTTTACCAAGATGAGTAGTGAGTGTCGTAAGCCAAAGGCGCAGCATAACTGTGCACAACTGGAGCCGCGCCATATGATTTGAAGACAGGGGCAGCGGCGGCATATGAGGTATGCACCAGAGGAGCAGAGTGGATGGTCTTCAAGACAGGAGCTGAGACATAGCTGGTCTTCACAACTGGTGCCACCACATCCTCGATAACATGAGCTGAGCTATGCACAATCGACTGGCTTTGATGGGAGACAGCGGTGGGAATGCTCTTCACCACAGAGCCAACTTTAGCCAAGACGGGTTCTTGGTATGCAACAGCTGCTGGAGCCGAGTACACAACTGGGCTTTCATATAAGTGGCTTGGGGCAGCGGCGGCAACGGCGACGAGGGCAGCAAGAACAAACTGCAGGAAGGTGGAAATAAATTGTTAAAATATGGCATTTTAAAAAATCTTACTTTAACAATGTCTCCTGCTATAAAGTGAGGTTAACTTACCAATTTGTACATTTTGTTAATTTTTGTGTTTTGAATTCGTAAGAATGAACGATTTTTGACTTTTGAACGTTGTTAGCTGATTGATGTCTTTCGGTCACGTAACCGTCGCTTTTATACTCTTTACGTACCATACGTAAAATAACCATGAAGCTTAATTAATCCATTAACAATAACAATATTGGTATAAATATATTTATTTGTTGATACAACCAAGTCATACTCTGTACGCATATGTGGACGTTTTGCTTATAGTAAATTAAAATAGTGTAGTAGATCAGAAACAATGCTTTCAATTGACCTTGTGTTAGTGGGTGCGACTATCAGTCAGTTCTTTAAACGTTTTATGTGGAAAAGTCTGGTGCGTGCTCTCCACATTTACCACAATAGTATGTAAATTATTCGTGATATTAAATAGTCCATATTTCAGTGGTGTGAACAACGATACTTAATATGCAAAATAGTTGAGAAATCCGAAATAGTTAAGGGCTGCTTCTGACCTACCAGAGAGTGTGCGAATACAGAGTGAGTTATCTTATGCTTGAAACTAGTAACTACATTGCCTTTACTGACCAGATATTGCGCATTCATATATTTATAGTTAGAAAATACTTTTAGGTCTTGCAAATCTTTATGTTAAGAACTTGCATAGTTTTATTTTTATATTTTACATCTTGGCCGTCATATTCATTAAATAATGTTATAATGTTAAGCCATTATAATCAAAAAAAAACTTGTCTACTTGATTTCATTTAAATATCACCATATAGACCAACATAAGCGGTTTAGAGTTAGGTGGAAAGCCGGCATTCACTATAGCGGGTAAAGTGGGGCTAGAGAAAGTCTGGTCTGCATTAATTTTTGGAACTTCTTAAGTATACACGAGAATATGTTCTCATAAATATAACTTACACAGAGAGGCATATTCAGCATAAAGTCAGATAGAATAACGAAAACATTAAGTATAGTATATAGGAGCTGGGGTGATTTGTGGACCGATTTCTCATATTTTACATTAAGTTAAAGTATATTCTGTGTTATGCGTTCACTTAATTTTTCTAAGATATCTTATATATTGACCGATATATACGGTATATAGTCAACCGGAAGTTCAAAAATCTTGATATTACGTATACCAAGATGAAATCTGTATATAATATATTACGAAGTTGGAAAAAATTGAAGTTTGATACAGATTTGGACATCGTCATGTAAAAATTTAGTACCCTCCTGAATATCATAAGAGTTATGAACATACAGTATACACAACTGTTTGGAGTATAATATAATTAAGTTACCTACGAACATAGATCTTTTTCTATAATATTGCTGGAGCTATTCAATGGACGATTAACAGCATGTACATACATCTATATTTCGGTGTAGAGAGAGCGCGCAGCTGACTTATGCACATGTACAATACTAGCCCAAGCCAGCAATAAGCTTATAAGCACAAAATATAAATTCTCTTACTCACACACGGAACATGGCCAGCATGATCGTGAATATTTTGCTTTCGGGAGTACACTGCTTCGGTTAAAATGCCAAAAAAAAAACTATATAAGAAGCGGATATTCAACAGAAAGACATCAATCAGCTAACAAAGCTCAAAAGTCAAAAATCGTTTTTTCTTACGAATTCAAAACACAAAAATTAACAAAATGTACAAATTGGTAAGTTAACTGTTGCATATAGCTGGATCACATACTCAAAGTAGGATGATTGAAAATACCATATTTTAAC